CTTAGCCACGCTCTGTGTACTGAACTACTGCCCATAGGATAAATCACTTGGCACACAGGAGACTGAGCTCTCCAGTGCAGAACCTGTATTTGCACAGTGCCTGGTGTGCACTCCCAGAAACAAACGGTAAATTGTCTGTCATGAAAGGCTGTATTGTGACCCAAAAACCTGAAATTAGGACATCACAAGGGCCTGAAAGCTGAACAAACGAGGGGAACATTTGTAGTCACACTATTTCAGATGTTTTGACCTATTTACCACCTGGCTAAGGGAACAGGCTGGAGAAAGGAAGTCGTTGAGATCTAGCGCTAGAAAGAGGGAGCTATTTTCAAAACGGGACATCCTTTCCCCTCCAAGGAAGGTGAGAGAGTTTACAATCTAAATCGGAGAGCTCCAAATAATCCACCAGCAAAATTCGAGAAGACCAGCTATCACATTGGTATTTTGGGAGTTTTTTTTTTAAACCGAATTAAAAAGAAAAGCCATGCTTTCTACATACACCAAAACGAAACGAGGGCGCCCATGCCACTTAAAATAACCCTGGGCAGATCTTAGTTCCCCTGTAGCCACGTTTCACGACTCAGGCGGGTCTTCTGCTGAACGCTCTCTTTTGATGTCTCGGTGGGTTTAGACGGTGGCGGGCTCGGGCTGCTTTCGGAGCGTCGGGCTCCTATTCTGCATGGCGGGGGCTGTATCCCCCCCCCCTCCACAAACACAAAAAAGGGAACAAGCGCGCCCCAAACAAGCCGCATGAACCAAACAGCCCTGTCCATGCTCCCGTGTGAAATCAGGCTCCTCCGTGGGACCGGGCTGCAGAGGGAGATGCACACACCCATTGTTCGCGTCTCTCTTCCTTGTCTGAGCGCTCGGGTGCCATGTGTAACCTGCAATGCCCGCCGAGCATGGCTGCGGTATTTGTTGTCCCCCCCCCCGCCCACCCCCTCCATCCCTAGCAGGCTGCGGGCGAGGAGCAGCGGCTGCACCCGCCGCCTAATGGAGCATCATCTCCACTGCCCCATCAGCATCTCCCGGCCCCCCCGCTCCTTTCGGGTGCAGCGGATGGAAAGGCGGTGGGCGAGCCGGTGTGTGTGTGTGTGTGTGCGGAGAAGACACAATCAGTGCAGCACATTGAAAGACGCGAAGGAGGAAACGCAGCGGGCTGGCAAGCTGCGGCTGCCTGGATTGGTGTTTTGTTTGGGGTCCCCCCCCCCAGTCCCCGCCGCCTCTTCAAGCTATAGTTCTCTGGCTCGGGTTTAACCCTGAAGGGGGAAGGGAGCATTTGTAGGAAAGATTGGATGTGAGTCAGGTTAAAAATATAGGGCGCTGTTAAATGTCCCATGGAAACACACGTTGCAAAATAATCATAATAATTCAAGGGCACAAGAGCATAGATGCTGGAGCTAGGGGTGCTGCTGCTGGTTTGAAGTGGTTTCCATCACATCCAGGGTTTACAGTTTGGTTTAATGGCTCTCAGCACCCCCCATTGTACAAATTGGTCCAGCCCTCCTGCCCTAGAGGCTTCAATTTAACTCCCCAGCCCGAGGAAACCTCCCTGTAAATAAGTGAGGAGGGGGCAGGTCAGATGGGGGACATGAGAGGAAGAAATCTTACCCTGCAAAGCCCAGTAGCAATAGTGTGACCAGGGCCTGCTTCTCCCCAGTCAAAGGCAGGGTAGCAGATCTATGGGGTGTGCATGCTGCTGCTTTATTTCAGCAGGGATGATGTGAAAACATGTAGATAATTACTAAGAGAGGGGGTGAGAGGAAGAGAACTTGTGTGCTCAGTTTGGTTTTTAAAAAAAAGGGGGGGACATTAATTAAAAATGGCCTTTCTAGCTCCCAAGCATATTTGACTTTCCTGAGTGGTGCATCTAATGGCTTGAAAAGGCTAGGTGTGAAAATGAGCATTCACTTGGCATTTTGTGTTCCGTAAACAAGGCTGTTTAGCACAGACCAGCCAGAGAAGATCAAGTCATCCCACGTCTTGACAAAAAAAGCTGTACTGTAAGAGTCCATCGTGGGCTACTCTCTTTAGAGATTTGTATTTTCAAAAAGCATACTAGGCTTTTAAATATAAAAATGCACATCTCTAGCACTTTCTGTCCAAGGATAATAAAGTGTTACAGCAGTGATCAACCCCAAGTGGTCAAAAGTAAGTCAAGTCCCCAAATATCAAGAGACTGGCTTTAAAAATCATGGGTTTTTTTAAATAATGAATGTTGGCTTCTTTTTATTTGCCTTCTAGTTTTGAGCCTTTTAGGGTTAATGTTTTCACGCTTTTCTCTGCAACCACATGGTCTAGGAACTATTTTTACATAAGAATCTATGCTTTCATTAAATCAATTGACTCCAGGAGCTGGGTCTTTAAGAACAACCGCAAATATTACCAGATTTTTGTGATAAAATTGCAAGTCTGAATCAACAGAATTAGTTACAGCTCACCATGTTTGCATAAAGTGGGGAAATATTTCCATTTTACAGAGGGCAGAGAAACATCATACTACAGAAACTAGGTGATTTGCCGAAGGTCCCACAAATCAATAGCAGAGATGGGAACAGAGCCTGGGTCTCCCTCAGTCTAAGGACTAGATATCTATCCTTTCTAGATACCCTCCCCTCCCCTATTGTGAACAGTGAAACATTAGCAGTGAAATATTACTGTCAGGGAAGTCTGTGTGTCTTTGGATTAAACATATGTAACTTAATTTTTATGAGAAAATTTGTTTGTTGAGGTTTTCAATATGTGTGTGTGTGTCTGTGTGTGTGTGTTGATGGTGGGGGAATAGCATGGAAAACCTACTATGCTGGGGCCCTCTTGAGCCCTCCTTACTGAGGCCAAGCTCCCAAGGAATCAGTGGTAACAAGCCTGCATTTCTTATACACCCATTGTGGTCTCCCTTCCTAAAGCACGAATGCAAGAAGCTGATGGATCTTGTACTCATTGTGCACCCAAGACTCCAAGTCACTGGGATCTTGGCCCGAGTAAAGAGGATTGACTAGGGCTAACCCAGGAGGGTTTTGCAACTCAATTCCCAGCTTTCTTGGGAAACTGTCCTGTTCTGTAAAGTGCCACATACAGTGGGTATCCTTTAAAAAAATCCATTCGCTGTGCTTCAATATTTGACTTTACCACTGTATTTGTGGTATTTCCTGCACTTAATGGGGAAACACTGTAAATGTACAACAGCCATCTGTGATGTCTGTAACGGTGCCGACTACACTTTCTGTGCTTTTGTTTAGAGAAGGAACATGCATACAAATAAGAGCAACTAAAGTAAGCAAAGGCAGAGAGCAGTAAACTCAATGCAACAGTTAGGTCCCAAACCTACTAACACTTATGTATGTACTTAATGTGACTGCTCATGGATTTAAAGATGAACACATACTTAAGGGGTTGTGGGATTGTGGCATTAATTTGCATCTAGATGATGCATTAGAGATGCCTTGGCTACAAACGAGCCTAGTAAGTTAAGTGCTTTAATACATATATCAAGAAAATATAAATCTCATGGGAGGTGGGTGCACTTTGGATAATCCAGAGAAATTGCACTGGAAAACAGATAAGGGGCACAACCCTGTTTTAAAATAGCATTAGACCACCTATCTTTGAGGAAATAAAGGACCAGCTTTGCAAAGGTGTGGTCATCCTAAGAAAATGCTTGGGGTGGAAGTTGGGAAGAAAAGGGGGGACTAGGAATGGAACTATAGAACCCCTGCAGTCATGATGGAGATTGCAGCAGCTGCAGAGGAAAAAGTTAAAGGGGGATTTCAAGCCACCCCCAGTGGCTGTACCTATGCAGCTATATGAAAAATGCATGCTGAAGTTTGTTTGAGCAACACAACCCACAATGTTCTATTAGTGGAACCATAGCGTACATGTGTGTGTCAGATGATAACCCATTGAACGATTATTGCGGAAATACCGACCCAAGACTGTTAGCTTGATGTGGGACTTTGTGATGCTAACAACACGAAATAAGAGATGGCCCTCGAAATAAGCCACAGGTGGCCTCAGTAGATAAGAGGGAGCATTGGATGATGAAGTGAAGCTGAACTAAAAGTGTAGCACTTTTTAAAAATTATTATTATTATGTCCAGGTTTTGAATGGAAACAGACATGATACTGCATTAACAGGCCAGTCTGGATGTTGCTAGGGGGGAAAACACCCATAGCTTGTTGGTGTCATCCCTCCTTTGACATATTTATGATTATATGCAGGTTTCACATGGAAACAGGTACACCTTGCATAATTTCCCTGGATGCCATCATTTGGGATAAAATTGTCTGCCGCTTTGCCCAGGGTTGTATATGCCCCCCCCCTTCTCTCCCGGCTGCTTCTCTATTTTTAAAGGGGTTTTACTTAAGAGTTAAAACATTTTTTTTAAAGATGCTGACATCATGCATGGGAAGCGCGTGCTGCAGAATCTCCACCTGCTGGTGCAGGTGCTGCAGGGAGGAGCAGGTTCGCCCCCCCCCCCAAAAAACCATTTACATTTTCCTAATTAATTATGGATTTTTTTATTGTTTCCCTCCGATCTATTTATGATAGCGGGAGGAAGGGGGCAGGGCTGGGGTTTTTTTTTGGGGGGGGGAGAGGAGGGGATGCTCCTTCCCCCTCCCCATATGCCCAGGGGGTGGGGGGGCAGGAGGTGACCAGCCCTGGACACTCTCCTCTCTCTCCTCCATCTTCTCTCCCGAGCTCAGCTTCCCCAGCTTGGGACGGTCCCATTGGTAGGGCCGCGGGGGGGGACGGGCCAGGCTGCGGGCGCCATTGGGCTCCGGCAAGCGGCTGGAAGCGGCGTCCCCCCCCCGACGCCCACGTGCCAAGCCGGGTGGATTCACCCCCGCGAGCTGCGGGGCGCCGGCGCTCCTCTGCAGGGCTGGGGCGGGCGCGCTCCCCGCTCCCGCCCCCCCCCCGCTCCCGCAGTGGTGCGGCCCGGAGGTTAGCGGAAGCGGCCGCTCGGCGCTGCCATGTTGAGCCGCCGCCGCCGCCGCTTTGTTGTCGGCTCCATGTAGCTGGGGCCCGGGGGAGGGAGGGGGGATCGAGCCGGAGTCGCCGCCGCAGACCAGGCCGCCGAGGCCCGGGAGTCCCCGCTATGGAGGCCAACTGGACCGCGTTCCTCTTCCAGGTGAGGCCGCGGGGAGGCCGGACCCCCCCCTTCCCTCACCGGCCGGGGCCACTCCGTCCCCGGGCAGCGGCCGCAGCGCAGCGCGCGGTTTCCAGCTAGGCCAGCGGGCTGTCAGTCAGCGCGGCCGCCCGGCCTCCCTCTCCCCCCCCCCCCCCCCCCCAGGCCGGCGGGGGAGGGGGGAGCCGCGGGGGGAGAGGGGATCCCGCGCTATAGCGCTGTGCTGGGCCGGCTATAGCGCGCCCGGC